CCGTTAATTGAGCACTGATTAAAAGTCATGATGTTCTGCGTGAGCGTTCCAGTTTTGTCGCTAAAAATGTACTGAATTTGGCCCAATTCCTCGTTCAGCGTAGTCGTGCGAGACTTCGCCGGCGTATCTGTCTTCGCGTAATACATGTCTCGGTCCCAGTTGATCCACCATGAATGGCAGAACCTAATCACCTCGACGCTGAAACAGTCAAAAGTGAGGCACACACGGCCAGAATAAACGAGCTTCGATGGCGTCGTACCTGACATAAAGCGAAATAGGCACCACCGTGTTGAGCAAAATCGCATAAGAAAAGAACATCAGAAAAGCTATGAATGCAACGTTCGCGGAAGTGCTGGTGTTTTGAGTAGCAAATGATTCCCAAGGCAAGAATATCTGAAATTCCATTCCGGTGGTCCATTCCCAGATGCCGCACAAAACGGTGCATATGGTGCACATCGATAATAAAAACAACACGATCTAAAGGAAAACTGTGAATGAACTGGATATCGGCAAACAAACAGAAACAGCTGGGTCGAAATAACAATTTGTATAATGTCAAAACATCGCAGCAATTTTGAAGGATTATTAGCCTAACGATCGTATGATGAAGATGACGCAGTGGAAGGAAGACGATGACCAAGACGAGGGTGCTGGTGAAAATGCTCATGTTAATACGATAATGGATAAGATCATCAGGGTGACGACTGAGGAATTGACAATGATGATAACAATGATAAGAATGATGATGGCGATGATCATAAATACGACGATGGCTAATACGATCTCAGTGATGATCGGTCGAGAAAAACAATGGTCATCATCACGACGTGATTATTGCCAATTATTTTTGGAAATCGCGCGTGTTAATTACTATGCATGATACTTCAGCACAAGACCTTTTTGAACACTACAAAAATTTATACAGATTATACGGTTTGAAAGGTTCCGCTTCATCAAACGTAAAAAAGGTAAACATTACCCCAATGATAAGTACATTGAGGAAACGGTCCAAACTGGTACGCTTGAAGAATGTCTTGCCGCTGTTCATCATCAGCTTTGTGTCGCGTCCGGCGAAAAGCACTAGGCCGAAACACCACTTCGTGTTACGCAAACGACAGCCACGTAATAACAGTTTGCTCGAGTCGAGCGCATAAATCTTGTTCCTCCAGATGAGTTGACCCTGGAATGAGCTTAGCGCATTGTTCGGCGGTTCGCAAACGATCTCGCCATCGAACCGCGAGATCATCGTCAAATCGTCGCCCATCGACGCGGTGTCCGGTAGCGCCTGCTTCGCTTTCAAGTTCGTTTCGCCGTCTAGCTCAGCCGTTTCGATATAACACAAGCCATGAGGTTCACTGGTAGACAACAGCAGCAAGTCAGCCTACAGAAAACAGCTGAAAATTGTTTATTAACCCATGACATAAAGTTCATTTAAATCACGTTCCTCGCCGTCAAAGGTGCTTAGCCAATTTGTTTTGCAAATGTTACTGCTTAATCTCCAGGAACGACTCATGTTTTTGTCCACTGATGTTGTCGATGAAACACCCAAGTACGTGTCGAGTAGCTGATAGTAGAAAGTCAGCAAAAAACTTAGGCTACTCGACTTTTCAAACTCAATTTGAAATCATTTTCAGATATAATCTTGTAAGGCACCGATACTGTCCCATTAAATCCTAAGCCAACTGACTATCTAGCAGGATAGCGTGAAACTGGTTTACTTCACAGTTTGTCAGAAAAAGCTGCGTTTTGAATTATGATCGATTCATCCCTCATGGGCGCTACACAAGTAATTAAGCAAAACATAAATTTTCATCTCAGCAGGAGTAATGTTGCAGGAGCGCCAGCAGCGAACCGAAAAGAAAAATAGCTGGCTTGACATCGCTGCTTATGTAACTGTACAGATCCAAGTAAGTGCAAACTGTACGAAACTTGATTTCGCAGCACTATGCTATCTTTCTGTGTTTCTAGATGCGTATGGGACAACTAAGTAATCCGTGGTACAGTGATACTTGAGCAACAGTAATAGATCCTGCAGATGTAATGTATCACGTGTCAATTAATCAGCTAGAGCAACGAATCACTACAATGACCAATTCTGTTTCAGGATTCGGTAGTCAACATAGATATGATAGAATGTATGCTTAAATGGCTTTCTAGCCATGTAGGAACCAGCTGCTACGATTAAAATGGCAATGAAAACAGTTTTGTAGAATGATGCAGTTATCAATGTACACAAAGGCAGAAACAGCAATTTTGATTTGGGAAAGCACATCCTTTCGTTAAAAAATTTCAAGGCGGTGCAGACAATCACAGACCCGTGACCAGCTTAAAAGTTTTCTGTTATACATATAATTGGTCGTGAAACACGCCAGCAATCCTGTTATGGAGGAGTTATGTGTTAATAAGCAAACTGCCCCGTATGAATCCATTGCTTTAACTGCGTATAAATCACTTAATAAAATATAGAAATTTAAAAAATATTTTCGCGGCGAAAACACGTACAGAAACTTTTGAATATGTCACCATGTTGAATGTTTTCAAATAGTCTGATATAAAGTGTTAGAGTATTCCCGCACAAACTATCTCATCCACATATTAAAAAGGAAAGTTTGAAACCGTTGGAATATTGATTTCCGCAACACTATAATAATTTGCAGCCATATGTGACGTTCTTCAGTTCATAAGACTAAAAGTGAGGCACTGATCTCCGTTTCTACGCTAAAAATTAGGAATGCCTTTTTTAAAGACAGAATGTACAACTACGTGCCACGTATAGTGTGTAATCTTCTATTCCCTTCCCACAGGGTGGTACTCATTTATGAACTTCAGACGGAAGAAACGCGACTCACCTGATCGAAGCCTGAAGCCGGGATCTCTCCGTTCTATGTTCGAAATTCTATCGACTGATAAGCCCCGGCCACGTTATTAAAACAGAAACATAAATACAAATAGCCGCTAATTACCGCAATGAAGTGATCGTTTTCCATTCTAATCACATCGCCAACATTGACGTTCTGCCAAATCTCTTCGATCAGTCTACCTTCACGGACCACGTAAGACACTCGATTATTAACCTGTTTGTCGCTGCGCCTCCGCTGCTAAAATTGTAAATTAAATCAAATTTTAAAAATTAACCGCATTCGTTTTGGGTGACAACCGAACAGCATGGAAAAAAATTGCTATGTTTCAAATGCAATCAATAAAGGGGCAGAATATAATTCTTGGTAAGTCACATTTGAATCCTAGCAAAGTCACTGGTAATTCACTTATTTGAGGTAAATAAAGGAGCAACATAACATGAAAACGAATCAGTAGGATATATTGGAGACCACTGAAGCAGCTGCCTAGTTACCGATAAATGCATTCCAAAATTTATTTTCACAATTAAGGCTCAAGCAGTTTCAGGTAATATTTTACCTGGTAACATTCTCTTAAAGTCACAAGCTGTACGGACTAGAATCAAGGGGCTAAAACGCCCACCGTTCAATAAATTCGAATTATCCGACTGAACCGTCTTCGCGGCCTATAGCGTATAACTGCAAAGACAATCGGCCTTGCGAGTCCCGCTCGTAACACCGTGATAAACATGGTCAAACCGTGAATAAAAAACGACTAGCTTCGGAAAGTCTTTATCCGAAGCATGTCGTGCAGAGTCACTGTCTCTTAGAGGAGCAGCTGCATATATTGTCTTGAACAAATATGGCATTGCTGGCCGAGAGCATCATGAGATCAGCTACGTAAATACTGCCAAACATAAATATGACACTACTGCGAAGTGGAATGGCATCTCACATCCCATCTTATAATGATTATGCAGTCGAGACCAATCAATCATGCTTATTTAAAAATAATCAGCAGTGACACTAAATTTGCACAACCTGAACATTAAATCTTTGTTATTAAACTCCATATGAATACATCCATGTACCACAAAACAACGAACACTTACTAGATCGTCAATGGCATCCTTCGCGGCGGTGATCGACAGTACAGCGACCAGAGGCAGTATTGTGGTAAGCGACGTCAACGATGAAATTTGAGGAATCAGCTGTAAAACGTTAAACGTTAAGACATGTTAGGCACATGGGTGCTGGGCGGTTCAGCACACTATTCGTACCTGGAGGATCATCAGGAGGAGGAAGTAAAAATTGGCCAACCTCTGGAACTGTTCAAAGAGATTCTTCGGTAGAAACGTAAACATGTTGTATTTTGATGTTCGGATATAATTGCCCTATATATATTTGTATGCATCACTGAAACGTCACCAATTTAAAAAAATCTTACCGCATAGTCATATTGCGCATTCGCGTCCGGATCGTTGGCCTTGACGCGACGCTCTGTCTCTAAATTCACACATATAAAGATACATAAAACAAAATAACTAAAAACATCAATAACGAAATCTATGATTTATGACGGAATAACTTTCGCCAAGCTTAAAATTATTTCCTTCCTTTCTCGATAATCGACTTCACAGCTTACTGCTACAGCATATAATCGCTGAAGTGGGTCAAGGCGAAATGCAGCCTCAAAAAACAATGGCACTGGACAGCGTCTCAGTACAGTTGATCTATTCTGGTATAATCACACAAGAATACCACACTGTCCCTGTTGTTCGCCAGTCAGCGACTTGCTACCGAGTTTACGATTGGTTGCACACACGCGACATGAGGTAAATTAACTGCTTCAGAAAACGAGCAATTATGAGAAAGTTTGTCGTTTCTCGCTGTTCGAACCCGGCACCCCCATCGTTCGCTGACCTCTTTACTACTGTGCCGTACCGCACTGTCCCATTTAGATATTTATATATTACACAACGTTTCAGATCATAGTCGACCCGTCCTCAAGGAGCCAAAGTAGGAACGATTATTATCAGTTACGATGTCAAAAAATCGTTCACTAACTTTCCACTAAAAGAAATCTTCACTGCTGTAGAAAAGGAGCTCTAAAGCGATGCGGAGTTAGCAAGGAAAACAACCGTTAAATCCACTGTAGACATTTTGAAAATCTGCCTAGTAAACTACCGTTATTTTAGATTCAGTGGCGAACTATTACAACAAGCGGGCGAGTTCAAACATTGGTTCTCCGTTGTCTTTAGTTCCAGCGGAATTCCTTACCTATCATCTAGAAACACTGTTATTCTTCGCCTACAGTTCACAATTTACGATGATAACATAGCCAGGTGTGAAAATGATACAGAGATGCTCTTCTTGGATGACATGAACACCCTGTATCCGGAAGAAATCATACTGATTATGAAGTGGAGCTCCATATTTTTCTGGACACACTAATCATAAGAATGGATAACAAGTATGTTACTGCGGTATTTCGCAAGTCATCACACAGATACAAATAAATTCCTGCTTTTCAATTCAAACCACGTGTACTCTGTGAAGAAGGATAGGACTAGCACTCTAGCCAGCATATGCTTCGAAGAGCTCAGACGATATTCGTATCGAACATTAACTGGCTTACATCCGGACAGCTGTCAGAAACAGTGGCTACCACAGACAGTTGATAGAAGGTATCAACAGTAAGCAAAGGAACAGAGGCAAGGAATGATTCAGAAATGAACAAAAAAATTGAACGCCACCATTGTTACTCCATACGTACCAAAACTAAGCGAGAAGCTATAGAGGATCACTCGTAAGTGCGTAAAACAGCTGGTATTGATATCCCAAAAACACTACAGAGTCAGCTAATGCATGTGAAAGCCATCGAGTCGAAATCCAAACAACAACGCTGGATCTGTACCTCAGTATGCGACCATGGTCTTAATTACATAGGAGAAACCAGCAACGTCACACCTTAGTAATCAAACAAGCAAAGAAAGAAGAACAGCACCGACAAGCGAAAGACCCGCAGGTGCTGAAGAAAGAATGCACAAGAAAACAGATCGTTTGTAGCATATGCAGTACAAGAACGACACTGTATATTATTGGGATCAAGTACGTCTAAAGAAAAATGCTTTAATCCGGAAGACAAAGGAAGCTCTGACAATTCAGTCGAATCAATGTATGAATAAGATTCAACTCTGGGCGCAAAACTACAATGGTTTGGAACCTCAATGTAACAATTTATAATGATACTGTAACGATTTGCCTGATATTAGATCTTGTTGGAATTATGTTGAAAAGATCATCCCTGTAAGGATTGATCAAATTTTGAACCTCCGCATAAAAGGCAAAAGATATACATAGTCAATCAGTCAGTCAGCGAAATCTCAATCACGGCTTATCACGGGTCGCCTAAGCATACGCGTCAGACAGCTTCCAACTTGTGTAAGGGTTGGAGCTCCAGCAAACGGTAATCCTAGTCTGAAGCAGAGTCCTTCAATGCACTTGTAACTTCATACATACATCCATAAATACTTACATCCATCCATCCATCCATACATCCATCCATCCATACATACATACATACACACATACATACATGTATATATATGTGTGTGTGAAGTATACAGTTTTTTCTGCTTTTATCAGAGCAAGTTAAAGTTTAACAATGTCAAAAGCTTTTTATCTTGGATATCTGATATGCTAATCAACGGTTTATGGCGAATGAACGCAAATAACCATGTACGGGTCGCTACTGCAGAAGTATAAATAATTTAGTTTGCCTGAATTACGTAGTCTATTTTGAAAAACATCGAAACACTGAGCTAAAAAGATATTTATCATTACGCTCGACACAAAACGCGTCGAAAGCGCATCATAAGCGATGAATAATCTTATCTTGTTTAAGTAACGGATGTCGGACAAACAGCAGGTCTACAATATCCAGAAGATTAATTCGCTCATTATATTTAGCCAAACACTGATCCATGTGTTTACTTCTCGTTGTGCCAAGTAACAAGCAAGCAAGCAGTACACAACGAAACAGAGTTGAAGGTGGCAACAGTCACAAAACAGCAAATCAATTTTTTTTAAAAACAACAAAAACGGTTACCTCTGTGATCCTTTTTACGAAAAATTTTGAACATCGTGA